CGACTTACGACAATGCCTGTACGCAATCGTAAAAGGCACGCCGGAGGCTCATGCGTTGAAGAGCCGGCCAAAGATTGAACCTAGACCCGGTATAAACTCTCCTAACCCTCTTGTAGCAGGGAGGAACACCTACCAACCGGGCCGAACCTCTTTATAAGAAAAACTTTGAAGAACTCACAAGGAATTCTACCATCACAGAGCAGCCCGGCACGACGGCCACTGCATCAAATCTTGTTTGTTAGGTGACCCAAAGTCCTACGTTCACTACGGGCACTAGGACTTGGGGGGCTTGTGTATCCGCAAGGGCCGGACGCCGTACGGAAGGATCCATGTGAGCGGACGCCCAAGCTAATTGGGCGGATCTCCATGCGGACGAGGCGGACGCCCATATCACATGGGCGGACACGACCAGCAAAACCGGACGCCGTACGGAAGAGCCCACATGGGCGGATCCCACATGGGCGGATCTCCGCGGACACGGCCAGCAAAACCGGACGCCGTACCAAAGAGCCCACATGGGCGGATCCCACATGGGCGGATCTCCGTGCGCGCGAGACAGACGCCCATTTCACATGGGCGGACGCCCACGCCCGCCAAAACACTAATCAACATGACTTAAGGAAAAGTAGCCTGGTTTAAAGGTAAGTAAAAATTAGAAGCTATCGGGCCGTTTTGGGCCGTGATTAACTTTTCACTAATCCCAAGCCCATAGCGAAAACTATAAATACAGGTCCACGGTGAGTGGTAGATAGGTTACATTGAATGCACATTTATTGCTACTACTGAAAATAGCCACTGCTCTGAAAATGACTTTGGCATCGGAGAATCTTTTGTAGGTCTCCACCCCTCCGGATCAAGAGGAGAGCCAAAGCGCCAGGGGAAGATCCGCCAAGGAGACAAGACTACGGGAGGACTTGGAAGGCTTGGAACCGCACAGCCCTACACATCCGAAACACCATCCTTTACCACATTCTTTCTCTTTCTTCTATAGTATATTCATCATTCTCTTTTCTTATTCTCTTCATACTACTAAGATTAGTATGTGATGAAACGATAAAAAAATATTTTAATCTTTTTTTTATTAATATGAGTACATATTTAGTAGTTATGGGGGTGCGAAAAACAATAGGCGTACATTATTATCATGTTAATTGAAAAAGAGGTTTTCATGGCACATCCATGTTATTATTAAATCCCATACTATGAAAATAAAGTAAAAGAAAAAAAGAAAAAAAATAGACCGATCGTTCGGAAAGTTTATTCTAATAGTTATCATTAATTGGTAAAAAAATTGTTTTAAAAAACTCATTCTGAATTCATTTATCTGTTTGAAAAGTTCATTTAAAAAAATACCATCTATATTTTAAAAATTTTGTTTCGAAAATTTTATTCCATAATATATTTCATATATTTTGAAAAATCTTATAGAAATAATATTTTAAAAATAATATTATGAAAATTTGAAAAAGTTTCTTCTAAAAAAATTCCAAAATAAAACACTTCAGATATCACTTTTACAACAATTAAAAATTATAAAGTGCACTCCATTTAAATGTTAGGGTAGTTCTCTCACTTTTATTGCTTTCCCTTTCGTATTTATGTGCCTATTTGTGAATCTCTATCATATTGTTAGAGTTAGAGTTCATAATCCCAAAAGTACTTAAAAGACATTATTTTATTTTTAAATCTAGAAGGAAAACTATAGGTGAATTGCTGACATAAAAGAGATAATAATTAATTTATATGTTTTATATAAAAAATCAAATTTGATGTGGTTTGTTTGTTGAATAATTAAAATTCATTTGTGTAATAAATGCATAATATTAAACTATGGTTTTGGATGAGCATGTGCTGATAGAGAAAAATGATGGTACAAATTGTTTTTTGTTGCCAAGAATATCTATGAGATATATTATAATTTTTAAATTACATATATAATTTCAAAACACTCATTTATGATTTGTCATAAAAATTTTCTTAAAAGATATATAAATTACTCCTCCAATAATAATTATAATTACGATGCAAAACTAGTTTTTTTTTATCCTGGACAAAATTTGAATGATAAAATTAAGAATATTGATAGGATTTTATGGAAAAAAATTAGGGATGCTAGCATCAATAAGTAACATAAATTTTAAATCCCATATATATAAATTAAGGAAAAGTTTCATTTATATTATTTTATTACTTAGGTTTCTAATAATTTGCAATACTGATGATGTATAATTCAAGAGACACAAATATTTTTTTCCTTTTAATTATTCAATTTATGTTATTTTATATTAATTGTTAGTTTATATTTTATTTGACATTTTTGTGTCATTTTATATTAGTTTTTATTAATTTATGGAATATAATTTTCCAAATATTATAAATTTTATAAAAGTTGTAATATTATAGATATATTTCATACAAAATATTTATAACTAATAAGTGTACCACATGTTATATATATACTAAAAGTTTACTTATGTATTACATATTATTCAAATATCACGCTAGAACTATTACAGGAATTAAAATAATTTAGGCACACTGTGAATAAACTAAAATTATGTTAGGCATCAGTACCTTAAAATTATATATAAAGTTTTAAATTCAAAATTTTATGCTACACTTTCCTCTTTCTATAAAATATTAAATAATCAAAACAGTAAATAAAAAAATAATAGTAATTATTATGTTTTTGTTGATTTCTCTGACATAATATAAAATTGTTTTTGTTATGCATTTATATATGAACAATTTTTATTGGATTTTTAACAACAGAGAAAATGGAACTTAAAATAAGAAGTTCAATTACAATTAAGAAAACTTGTGAAGAAAGAGGAATTAGTTAATATTTACAGTAACATATTAATAAAATGATTTATTTATGATTATTTTTATTTTAATAATTATTATAATATTTAAACTGTTAGTTATAATATCACAAATGACAAGTGTCAATCGTAAGTGTGAATAGTATTACCCATAAGAGGCCCGAAATGAATTTGGGCTTTAGAAGGAAAGAGTAAGCCCATGAGAAAGATACGATGTGATATGATATTTGTGTTTTGGCGGAGGGGAGGCGTGACAGTGGCAGCGGTGAAAGATTGAGAGAGGAAGAAGAAGAATTAGGGTTAGGGTTGAGGTTGTGAAGAGAAGATGCAAGGCGGTGACGAAGTGAGTATAGAAGAGTTGGCCTCGAATCTTTCTCTCTACAAAGATCAACTCCACCAGGTAAGCTCAATTCAACTGTTCACTCACTCTGCTCTCGTTTCGTTCCGTTTCATTCATTTGTTCCTCTTTCAATGAATTCTCAGGTCAGACAGCTCCTGAATGATGAACCTTCGAATTCAGAATACGTTGACATGGAGAGGGAACTTTCCGAGGTATGTGCCCTCTTTATTTTCTTGCTAACAACTAATACACCACTTCTCCTACTTCTTCATTTTCTCAATCTCAATTCCCTTCTCGAGAAAGCAGATCCCTACCATAAAGACATCAGAGGATCCTTGTAGGCAAATGCATTTCTTGAATTTTCTTGCTTCTAAAAGGTGCTGAGGGTACTAGTTTTTATTTGGAACCTGCGGGCAATTTGTAACATGATTCAAATTGCTCAGCCTGAGGACTATGATCAAATAAATAAGTGAATCTTACATAACAAAACAAAAAACCAAAGACAACCTCGTCAAAATGCACATCACGTCTATCTTGGTTGTTGTGCAGGTGTGCTCTCTGTCGTGATGTCCAGCATGCTTTCTCCCTCTCACCTGATATGAGATGTTCACACTGAGATTCACCTAAGTTAGAATTTTGACATTAATTTTGGTTTATAATGTAAACATTTTCTGAAAACTATTTGTTTTACTGAACTCCAAATATGTGCCCTAAAATTGTGTTACACAGGTCATTGCTTTGACGGAGGAACTCCTTGCAACTGCAAAGCAAAATGAAATGTCTGGTTCAACGGCTGCTCCTAATGCTGGTACATCTCCAAGTTTGTCGATACATAAGGAGAATCAAATGGTATGTTCTCTGCATTGTCATTTGATTTTGGAGTTTAGTTGCACTATTGCTGTCAGGGAAATTGGAAACAATGATTAGGGAACATGTGACTAATAATATTGCCTAGTATTTTTTCATTCGACGTCTGCCTTCCCCGTACATTTAACATCCTTTTGGTGGATATTGTGTTTTCCTTCGAAAGTGGAGCAGTTTTCTTGCCATATTCTTATTACAATAAAGAAAAAAGCGGAGCATTTCATTTTTGTATAGATCTAGCCAGATGAATTTTAATTCTGACCAAGCTGATGTTCTTGTGTGCATGATAAGGGTCTTGTCATATCCCCTCTTCTTCCTACCCCCAATTCTCCTGCAGTCCCCTCTTCATTCCTGTCTATATTATGATGGCTGGGCCTGCTTTTTAGTTATTTTGGTTGTTCAAGTATTTTTCAAAATATGCATTGGCATATGCCAGGTGTTTGCCTGCTTTTGGCTATAATTTAACTATGCAGATGAACTTACCTGCATTAATATGTATCTGCAAGTCATTGCATTGTTGTATTCTAAAACAGAACCAATGTTGTCTAACTCTTGAGTTTTCTGGTCAGACTCTTGCAAGTTTACAATTATAGGTAGAGAAAGTAAGTTAACCCATGGTCTAACTCATTTATGTATAAAATCTGGTAAATTCTCACAACAAGCTTGAGTCAAGAAACAAGTTTGCGATATTGAAGTCCAACCTAAACTTTGCTTCCAATTGGCTTCACAGTGTTAGTGTTTTCTTATGGAGATAAAATATAGAATTATTGTTGTGCTAATAGTATTGTGCAATATGTTTTTAGTAGGTTTTTAATATTAGTTTTTATGATAATTAAACGTATAACTGAAAACTCTACTAGTCTATGTAGACCTTCAAGTTTGACAACCTTGCGTAGATAGAACTACCTGTTCATGATTCATTTAATTTCTTTTATTTGATAATTGATAAAATTAACAGTAGTAGAACTGGTGGAGGAAGTAATCGAAATAATCTCTTTGCTGTGATGCATCAAACGAATTTAGGTCTTGGACGACAGATACGTTTGAAATACATATCTGTAAAGTGTTTAATGTAGGTTGGAAGAGTGCTTATAAGTTAGAATGGTTGCTTATGGTACAACTAATAATCCTGTTTTATGAATTCTCGATGTCCTTTGGGTTAAACCGTAATTCAATATAAGACACTCATTAGTGAGTGTCTGCAACTTATTTATTATGCCATGCTGAATAAGACGAAAACACAAGGATCCCATCGTCTGTATCCCTTTTTCCTTAAAATAGTCTTACATTTCACTAACACACACACACACACACATCACAATCATAATTTTTTTATAATCATTTTTTAGTCTTTTTATAATTTTAGTGTTATTCGACCCCCAAATCAGATATTTGTCTTATCCAACACTCTTATTTATGAAATTACAAATCGGCAGAAGTTGAGGAGGGAACGATTGAAATAATCTCTAAATCTGATGACTTGTTTTGTCACTATTACCCTAATCATATCTCTATACTCAAATGCTTTTCTGGTGATTGTTGGTGTATTATTATGCTGTTTCACTTTTGTTGGACATATGATTTGGTTATATTAGAGATATGATTTCATTACATTAAAAAAGGAGATATGATATGGTAGGGAAATATCTTATCGATCTGTGACTTGTTTTGTCACTAATCCTTTCAATAACTACTTGTAACAGCTGGATAGCTCTGATCTTCAAGAGAAATTTCTTATTGGCACAAAAGTTCAGGCAGTTTGGAGTGAAGATGGGGAGTGGTATTTTGTCTATCACTGATTTTTTTTTTTCCATTTCATTTACCTATGTTTATTGTGTTTTCATTTTGTTGTGTTATGAATTTCCAGGTATGATGCTACAGTTGAGGCTTATACACCAAATGGTTATTATGTATCCTATGACAATTGGGGTAATAAAGAAGAGGTAAGGATTGTAAAAACTACTTGATGTACACATGATCGTATTGCTAGTCATGCAATGTCATATGTGGTCTGCAAAATTTTTCCTCTAAATTCTTCATTGTTTGTTTTATTTTTTATGGGTATTTTTCCGCACCTAGGAAAATAGTGGGTGGAGGGATTGAGTTATAAAGGTGTGATCAAACTCCAAACTTTACATAAGCTCATGAAGCTTTCGTAAAATCAATTTGTAGATTCAACTGGTAAGAGTTTTCCTAATATAAAATTAATACTAATATTAAAAAATCTATTAATGGCATACAAACATAACAAATCTCCTGTAACAACAATAATTCAATATTTCCACATCATAATAAATAAAACAGGCAAATCACAATAATAAAGTGTGTTAAAGCCAATTTGTTCTGGCTTCTTCACTAGCTTATTTTAGTGAACTCGAGAGTTTACGGAAAGAGTTTTGATAGTGAGTTAACTCCTCTTTGTATAGGATTGAGTTTAAGATATAACTTGATTGTTTGACAACATTATGAATCTCTTGTTTGGGGGATCTGTATTAGTTGACCACACCTATATACCAATGCCATAACACGAGTCAATGTTCGTAAATTATATTCTAGAGAATATTTGGTTATTGTAAAATATTTGAGTCCCATATTGAGTAGTAATGAAAAATTTGAGTAACAAATAAGGAGAAAGACCCACATACCTACTGTCTCAAGCTTTTGGATTAGAAATTGTATTATAGTCTCTTATATGGGTCGATTCATGACTAGTTGATATTGAATCTCCCTGGTTTGTCCTCTTTGAAAGAGCCAATAGATAATAGTAACGTGTTGATGGTGGTTGTTTATAACAGGTCGATCCTGCAAATATAAGGCCAATTCAAGAAGGTTCTGTAGATGCTTTGTTAGAAGCTGAGCGAGTTGCGGAAGCTACAAAACAGGCTATCAAACGGAAAATTGCACAAGCTGCATCAATTGATTTACAGTCTCGCAGTCTACCTGCCAAACTTCGTATAGAGGCTGATGATCCTGAGGATGTGGTGAGTGAGATGTTTTCAGTAAATTTTCTAGCTATATCTTGAAATTGTACTTTTCTAAATTAAAAATGGTTGCTTTTTGATGTTGATGAAATGCTTGAGTTTTCTTGTTTTTTAAGGATTCTACTTATGATTTGATAAGTCTTTTCTCCTGTTTGTTCTTGCAAGAACGAAAATGTTTGCAAGTTGGTTCTGGATTTGTTTTTGTTTGTGGTTTATCTGCCACTTAGCTATGATGACATGTTTTCTGACGCAATTACAGAAAGCTTCGAAACGTAAGAAAATACATGCCTTTAAGTCAAAGATGCGGATGGAGCAACTTGAAGTCACACAAAATAAGCGGCAAAATGCTTGGCAGCAATTCCAGTCAACCAAAGGAAAGGCGAAGAAGGTACCTTTCTCAAGTTTTCAAACTTTTTTATTCTCACATTAAATTAGTTTGAGAATTTTTTTGCACCTTATTTTAGCTTCTGTGACCAATGGTAGTTTTCTTGTAATTGTATTGAATTTTTGTTTTATTTTTATTTGTATATACATTTTCTAGTATATAGTAAAATATTGAACTATGCCAATTGGTTCATTAGGATACAAGGCTTGATTGGATGTTATACCCTGGTGTTATCTTTTTCTTTTAGATTCTCTTTTACGGTACAAACGATAGTTTTCATGTTACAATTGCGATGGTTTACTTTTCCACATGCATTATAGTTGTAAATATTGGAAATTAACCGAGCCAATCGATCCATTAGAGTACAGTAGTGCTTGGTTAGGATTAAATTGTCTACAAAATTTCATTCTAATCAGTATTTTCTCTGTAACATGCATAATTTTATATTGAATTACTATATTGCATAAGATAACTTGAATAGAAAACAGGTTCCTATTTCCTTTTTGTAGTCTGTATGTATTTCCATGTATTTTTTGAGAATAACCCTTGTATTTCCTTTTTAAGAATAAATAATGAATGCACCGTCAGTACAATTTTTTACGTTGTCTTTCTTTCACAAACCGTTATCTATAGTGAATTTGTGAATTTTTATAATAATTATCTCAACTCATTGCTTAATGGAATATATGTACATTGGAACTGGTTGTTTAGATTTATATTTATAACAGTCGCATATAAAGGGTTGTCTTATTAAAATATATTGTAAGTCTTTGCGATTAGGGGAATTAGAAAGTTACATATCTACTATCTGCTCTTGTTTTATTTATGCGTTAATTCCTTTGATTTTTGCGTTGTTTTTGTATACGACTTGGTTGTTTACATGCGTGAATTGAGTTTTAAAAATGATCTTTTTTGTTCTGGTATGTGATACAGATTGGTTTCTTCTCTGGAAGAAAACGAGAGAGTATTTTTAAATCTCCTGATGATCCTCAGGGAAAGGTTGGTGTGACAGGAAGTGGGAAAGGTTTGACAGAGTTCCAGAAGAGAGAAAAACATTTTCACCTCAAAGATGGTACAACTGAAAATGATGATTAGGTTTATATCATACTTTCAACTATTAGCCTTTCAAGTGTATGTATAACAATGCTCAAACAAACCATTCACTGTCACTTATGGCAATGTTATCTTGTGAAATGTGTTGAGACGGTTCTAGGTTATGGTATTAGCCTTTATACATTTTTTTCCCTTTTATAGCTCACTTTATTTTATCATAACGTATTTTCAAAGTTTTATTATTATTAAAGGTTAAATACATTAAAATTAACTTATTAAAATTGTTATTCAGAAAATTAATATTTTTATATCTAAAACGGAATAAATATCGTAATGTGATTTTAATAATTTATTTGTTTAAAGTTAATACGTGTGTATATTTATAGTATTTGATTAAAATGTTACAGTATCAATATAATTGATTAAAAATAGTACATTTATTATAAAAATCTCATATTATATGGTAAGTGTAAAAATACGGCGGTATTAATGCATATAATATGTAACTTTCTATAAATAGGTAACAAGTATTCTGAACCACAAGTAGTAAGATGTAAAGCCCTGGACTTTTAGATGATAAACAACTCATAGGACAACATTCTAGTGTGCTTCGTTTGATCTTTGCATAAATTATGAGATAAATCAAATGGCCAACTAGTCGATTGTAACAATCCGAATGAGAAAATTCAAGTCCTGTATCAGCAACCAATTTTCAAGGTTTTGCAATCTTCAGGAGGAAAAGAAATCAATTACATTTTAATCGGAGAACATATAATACATTTTTAAATCTCATCTTGACACCAAGAGTTGTCCATTTTTAAAAACCCTTATCCGTCAATTTTTCTTGGAGACAGAATGGTTATTTAAATATTTAATCATATTTAACATGGTAATTCATTGATCATCTTTCCATTTTCATTGTTTTCTGTTAGGGCAGAAACGAAAATGAGTCAGAAAGATTTATTATCTAGATTCTGATATTATATAAAATTAGTATGAAACCAGCTCTATTATTCATGTTGATATTATAAGTGTTATACAAAACCTATAATACAAATAAAATGAGTAATTCCGAATGGTAGAAATATTCTCTTAAAGGGTGAATTTTCTTTAACACTTATATATCCACCCAATTTTATATCCATCCAACTATTGTTATTTTACAACAAATATAACTTGTCACATAATGAAGAGTTGAATCACATAATACTCCCAACAAATCACATTCACACTTTTCAAATGATTTGGGCGATTAGTTATTTCATTCCTTAACCATTTATTACGTGAATATCTTTTCACATTGAAAACAACACAATGAAATTATTTTAATCGTAATAGGAAGTGGGTCCATTATAGTCAACTCATAAGGATATGGTCAACGAATGCTACATAATGAAAATAGATTTTTTAATAGGTCAGCCTGAGATATTCTACAAGTGGTAAATATGAAATCTAATTTGTAAGCAAAAATTTGATACCGAGGAGATTCGGGTAATTTTTTTTCCTTTTGGTTTAAATTTTTTCCTAGGCAATCGAGGCCAGCAACTGATAATCAGATAATTTAGTAAAAACAAGAAAAAAGAATACAGAAAAAGGCAAAATATTTCGTCCTATACAAGAAATCACCACTAGTATTTCGATCGCTAGAATCGATTTCTCCTATGTTACAATAAAATGAACAAGTTTTCCAGGCTTCTGCATCAAACAGCGAGATGTCTTGGTAGGTAAAATTTCAAAACTCCTTCCAGAACTATGATCAAGAGAGATTGAGAGCTGTATATGAATCATTCATTACGGATTGAATAATATTTATCCCACAGAGTTTGTGATTTCGATATTTCATTCATAAGATTCTTGAACTTGACACTGCAATCTCCTCCACTGCATAATGTAAAGTCAATATATATATATATATATATACACGTTTCACAAATAAACAGACAAAAATGAAAAGAGAAACATAAAGGAGGAAAGATTCACTTCAATAATAAACAGATCCACTACCAGAAAATGAGAGGATTGTAAAATGCGACTAGTATATTTGTCAGAGAAAAGGTAAATTGTTCTTGTCTCACATAATATGGTTGCAAAAATAACCACACTTGGCATATAGTCAGTGTTTTCAAAACGTGAAAAAGAAGTCCACTTTAAACAGTAATTGTTACAATTTGTGTAACATACTGTTTTTATAATACTACTATTACCACATAATATTCAATGAATTAAGATGCAAAACATAAACTTTGCCTACAAGAAAATATCACAGGCTGATTTGAGTATTCTTAAGTGGTGTTTGGCTATTTAGATCTTAAAAGGTAATTTAAAAGGAAAACAAAAACAATTAAAGCTATTTAGTAATTTATAGTTTTTTTAGATTCACGGTTACTTCTAAATTAAAAATTCTTTTAAGGTCATCAGTCTCGAATAGTGAAGAAAGAAAAAGGGAAAAGGTAGCTTTTATCTAAAAGCCTTCCTAAAACTGTTAGGTCCAATTTTTCCTTTTACTAGATTTCTAAGAAAGGCATTTTTCATTTGATTTATTAAGCGTCAGCAAAAGACGAGTAGTTCGGTTCGCAAACAGGTCAAAATACATACCTTATGCGGTTCAAGGATGCAATAGCCCGTAGTGCACTTCGAATCATGTCTTCATTACGATCTACTTCTTGCTTGACCGCGTCTTGCTTCGGCTTAAAATTAATAGTCTTCTGGAGAGGATCAACCAATGAATCCAACACTGAAAGGTAAAAATACGAGTTAGAAAAGAGAGATGCAACACGGAAAAGGCTTGATACTACGCCAGAGGCAAAATCAACCTGCTAAGACTGCAGAAGGACACTTGTCAGCTAGTTTTGAAAGTATCAAGTGGCACGGCATTTTAACATCATAGTGATCTGAAAAAACACAAATATATCCTTAAAATTAGTACCAACAAAGATACGGTTGGGTTCTCAATCCTCTGAGCATTACCAGTACAAAAACATATTCAGCAGAGTATAGAAAACAATTTCCGAGTGCTGCTTAGTAGCAATAGCACAAAACTAATTTTTTTCATTAAACTTAGCACACGAATCGTAAAAAAATTATATTTGCAGACATCGCGGTGGAAAACGGATGATAGAGTTCATCCAAAGAAAATATATCAACTGTCAACACAAAATTAAAAATTTTCCCTTGAAGCAGCCTATCTGCTTGCAGGAGTACGGCTATAACAGATAGAGAGTATTGTGCACCATGTTCCCTTAAGGACAAGTGAATCAGAACCAACAAAGTAATCCGCAGTGATGGATAAAAGATTACAACTAATGCTTACCATCCAAACCAGACTTAAGATAAGGAACAATGAATGATGAGGGGTTCACTTGATCAAGACAACTATCCAGTAATGTGTCTACACATTCAAAAGCTGCCTTCCTCAATTCAAGTCCATCATCCACAATATGCTTGAAAGGACCAAGATCAACCGTCCTTATGAGCTCTTGCTGTCAAAATTTCATTATAAAAATCAGATCACCTCCCATATATAAAGTGGACTCAAAAACCACTACAGAATATATTAAAATTAAATTAAATTAAATGTTCACAGAGTTAGAGGGAATAGAAAGTGTTTTTACTGTAATATGTATATACTCAACAGAAACATATGGAACAAAGTGTATCACAATTCAGGTTACCTTAACGATTGTTTGATCGTATAGAAGAGGCAACAGATCAGGAAGAAGCCCCTTGATGAGATTTGGCTTATTGTGTGCAAATGTGCTTAGAGCCAAAACAGCAGCTCTCCTAACATGCTGCATGCTCATAATAACAACCAGCAAAAAACAAGTTCAAGCTTAATACACCATCGCAATGTAAGGAAGAAATACACAACTAACAAAAGAACATAGCATGTTATATTTCTTAACATTCAGTAAGGTGATCAAAAGCTCACCCTGTCGTTATCCTTGATAAGCATCAGAAATGAGGATATTTCAGGGTATATGATCTCATCTATCTTCTCTGGACGTTCAACAATAGAGTACTTCACAGCAATGACAACAGTAGCTCGAGTAAATGCAGCTGGGCTGGTTGTTCTTACCTACAGAAGTTTCAAAACATACAAATACAATCATCAAGTACGAAAGATGTAAAATACAGTCCCATGTACAGGATACTAAATGAAAATTTAAATACCTTGAGTGCAGGAACAAGTTTTACAGGCTCAATAAGTGCAATTTTGCCCAAACACTCCGCCACTACATTGCGCACTCCCTCTTCCTCACTTTCACAGTGGTTGAAGAGTAAATTAAGTATTTTCTCCACACTGGACTCTTGAAACTCTGCTTTATCAACAGATTGTCTCACAATAACCTGTCAGGTAGGGGGCAAGAGAATTGTGTATATTAATATTAAATTAAATATTTGTGAAGAATCATGATTGCGCATATATTTAATAATAGAAAGAAATCACAACCAATTCTAATGTAACATACCTCTTTCAAAGAATGGAGCAAGAGATATTGTTTCTTCTGTTGATTATCAATCTGATCCAAGATAAATGGCAAGTATTTTGGAAGATTACCAACAGCAATGTTACCAAGAGCATATGAGGCAGCAGACTTTATCTCTTCAAAAGGAGACTGGAAAGATTCAATAACAATGTTTTCTATATGGTCATGTGTACTTAGATCCTTCCTTCTACCAATCTCCCCCAAGCATAAAAGGGCAAGGTGCTGTTTAGCCTTTGAAAATTAAAAGGGAAAAGCATTAATGATCACTACTTACAGAAGAGATGAACAATCTACTTTCGAAGCATTTTATTTTCTAATGGAGAGCAGTGTTAGGAATAAACAATTCTACAGTATATTCTCAATCAGAATCACATTTCTCGGATATTGATTAAGTAAAAAATAGTAAATCCTTGTCATCATAAATTACTTTCTATTATTACATATAGAAATAACACTACTATTCTCATTACTTTAAAAAAATGATTCATAAAGACAACTTTGGTTTTACAAGGAGACAATATTTCTATAATTCTATATTACCCAAACTTATATGTTTCTTGTAGTTTTATTGGAGATAAATGCTTTAAAAGATTGGACACATCACCAACATGTACCAGTGAAGTATCCAAAAGTATGGGCGTAGGATATGGGAAAGAAATAAGAGTATTGCTGCTTCACAAGTTTGAGTACTT